ATATATAACTCAAGGAGAGAGAAAATTGTTTTATTAATGAAATCAAAGTGTTAGTGTGACCAACTAAATATAATATTACATGTAAATCCTCCGAGGAATAAATATGTGCTTATGAACTGCCATCATCTTCGCAAGAGTTGTTGATGTTAGGAGTTGCAAGAACGGCCTGTATAATACAAATTGGATGCTCTATTTCCTTATGTTCATTTCTTATTCGTTCTTTTGTTTTCTACTACACACAATCCTCTTTTTTTTCTGAAGTTCTTTGGAGATCTTTTTTAAGAGGTGTGAGACTGATGTTGATGGAATAATGGATTTTATAGGGATTTGTTTGATGTAAAACTATACATTTTTTTAATGTAGTATTTCTATTTTTTTCATTGTATATTACTTATTATTTATTTTAATATTTTAATATAAATGTTTAATGTAGTATTTCCATTTTAAACGTTGTATGTTTACATATTACTTTTTATAGTGAAAAAGGTAATCTTACATATGTTTTATGTAGTTTTCCATTTATGTTGTATGTTTACATATTGTTATTTTTTTAATGTAAAATGATAATCTTACAAATATTTAATATAGTATTTCCATTTTTTATGTTGTATGTTTACATATTAATTTCGAAATTATATGTTTATTGATTTTTTTTTGTAAAATGTTAATGTTACATTATGGAGATAAGCCGTATTTGTTTAGTGAAAAATGATAATATTACATATGTTTAATGTAGTTTTTTCATTTTTTATGTTGTATGTTTACATATTATTTATTATTTTCGAAATTATATATAATTTTTTTTTAATTTTTTTTTATAAAAATGGTAATATTATACTATGGAGATAAGCTGTATTTGTTTTAGTGAAAATGGTAATTTTACGTATGTTTAATGTAGTTTTTCATTTTTATGTTGTATGTTACATATTATTATTATTTTTAAATGTAATGTAGTATTTTCATTTTTTATGTTGTATGTTTACATATTATTTATTATTTTCATAATTATATATAATGGTTTTTTTTATAAAATATTAATGTTACATTATGGAGATAAGCTGTATTTTGTTTTAGTGAAAAAATGGCAATCTTACATATGTTTAATGTAGTTTTTCCATTTTTTATGCTGTATGTTTACTTATAATTTATTATTTTCGAAATTATATATAATATTTTTAACTTTTTTTTTATAAAATGGTAATGTTATATTATGGAGATAAGCTGTATTTTCTTTTAGTGAAAAATGGTAATTTTACATATGTTTGATATAGTATTTCTATTTTTATGTTGTATGTTTATATATTATTGAAAATTAGTAATATTAAAATGTAAAACTTTAAATTTGCCATGTGGCATCTTTTTGAATAGGGTTATTATGAT